AGTAAAACAGGATCTGCCTGGTTCTCTTTTGTTTCCATACCCATGTTGGTTCATTCTTTCATCCTTGAATCCAAACTATTCCTTAACAAATCAAAGGTGGGATCATCAGAAAATTAACAGTAGAACGTTTGCATTCCTCTCTTAAATAAGGCTGAATCCCTGCTGCAATATTCTTAAGGGTATTTGGTGAGTAGTTAGTACCATCTTTTCTTCTGATTTCATTGATGAAACACGACATCCAGAACTGAAGTTCTTCAATAGTTGCTGTTGAAATTTCAGCAGGTATTGGAAAAAAAGATGGATTTTCTGTGTAGGTTTCAGGCAATGTATTTCTCTGCAGTGCCCAGTCCTTTCAAAGTTTAACAGCCAATCTATTTTTTTCTGTAGTTTTTTAGAAACACTTTCCATGGATTTCTTCTGCAAATCTTCTCCAGATATTGGTGCAGCATATCTATGTTTCTGTTCTCTTTTTAAAAAAATAACTCCTGTGTAGGAATTATATCAACATCAAAGTCATCTCCATCAAATAGAGAAAAAATTACAAGGTCTATGTGCTCTGAATAACTGCTGTCCTGTTCAGATATTGTGATATAAATGACGGGTAAACCCCAATTCTGTATGAACCAGAAACTGGCATCAGAGATGCTGATTAGTTTGACACTGATTTAATGGTTTTGTCTGGAGTAAACCTTGTCCTATACAATTGCTCATGATGAATGTGGGTATTTAAATTATGTATGTGAAGTGGCCCTTGACTTAATTGACTTGAAAATATTTCTCGGAAAGATATGAATGTTTTGTCATGAAAGTATACTTTAACGATAAAGTTGGTCTTTACTCAGTCTTTACTCCATGTTTTTGTAAGCGAAAAAAATGTTTATCTTATTGCAAACGTTAGGATTATCATTCAAAAAATGGCACTATAGGTACTTCGTCCACCCTATCGACCCATCTTCTTCATCCTGAACTAAGCTTCCATTTCAAAAGGTACAAAAACATTATAAGTAATTCAGGAAATTTACTGAAAAACAAACATTTTTTATTACTTTATGTTGTCTATGTTGTCTAAATTACAATTTCATCGAGTAAAGAAAAAAATAATCAACATAAATTATATCCTTGAACAAAACAAGCTGGGATAGATATTATTGGGCATGTTCTTTTACATACTAGGTATTGCAATGCTAGAACTTTTAAAAATGATTTATGCAGGTTATATGAGAATTTTCATTTATTACTGAAAATTTAATGGTACAAATATATAATTAATTAATTTAATGTTTGTAAATCAGTTTTTTTTCTAGTTGTAGACTGCACTAGCGATAGACAATGCAGAGTAGTATCTCACAAAGTGCTTGTTGTGGAATTGTACACAGCTCAACGTAGATAAGATACATGTACCTATTGAATTCACAGACAAATTAAACAATAATACGCTTTTGCTTGATCTTTCGTATAATAATTTTAACTCCTTATCTCCAAAAAACATTTCAAGGGATTCATTTTAATCTAAGTAGAATAACAGCCCTGCATTTCAATAATAATAGGCTGAATTTCGTACGACAAAAAACTCTTTAAAACAATTGTTCTTCAATTTTCATCTTGTAATCTCCAAAATTGGTCGTTCGAAGATATTCCTTTGTCTATACCCTAAGGAAATTGAGAATTTTGACCCTTAATGGAAATGCATATACAAGTAACATGTATTCTGAAGGTGAATTATCTAGTGTTTTATCTTTAGAAATATTACATATCGATGTTTTTAATACCTTTATATTTAAAGAATCTTTCAAACGTTAGAAAGAATTAAAAGAAGTGAAATTATTTTCAACATCCCATTTTCATATAAACAACGATAGCTTTAGTGGATTATCAGAATCCCCAATCAAATATTTGGCAATGTATTTTGAAGGACATGTACTTTTCGACATCAGTGAAGACATATTTTGTTCTTTTCCATATCTAAAGGGTGTAGAAATGTACTTTGGGGGCTTGTGTGACATGAATGAGGTTATGATAAGTTTAAAGGTACTTGGACACAGATTTGAAGTTAATATTTTCTCATTTTTTCTGTATAATATCACGAATTATATATTTTAATAGCATTTCACACAAAAATTAATTAAAAATCTTATTTCATTTAAAAGTTATTAAAACTTCAAATTTTTTGGCGGGTTTGATTGACACATCCTTGCACTTTCACAAATTTTAACTTTATTCTTAATCCTTAGGAAAAGTGGCAATTTTGATGTGTTTTAATGAGAAATATTAAAACTTTTATCAAGAAAAATAATTTTATTCAGAGTAGAAATGTTAGAAAGCAAAACACTTTCACAAGTATCGTCATTCCGAACTAAGAGATGCGTACAGAGTTTAGCAAATCGAGCACACTCGTGTTATGTACACAGTTTTTGTAAACAGGGCTCGAGTTCTGTTATTGTTTATATTTAGAATTCACCGGGTGCGTTCAATCGTCACAGTCTGCTTACCACAACTGCACGGACTGACAATATATTGTGTGTTTGTTTTGCTTTCGAACGTGTTTACTCTGAATTTTTCTGGATTATAGTATTAATATTTTTCATTTATACAAAACGAGATTGCCACTTTTCCTAAGGATTAAGAATAAAATTAAATTTGTGAGAGTGCAAGGATATGTCAATCAAACCCGCCGAAAAATCTGTAATTTCAATATCTTTTAAACGAAATAAGATTTTTAATTAATTTTTGTGTGAAATGCTATTAAAATAAATAAGTCGTAATATTATAGAGAAAATAATAACTTCAAATCTGTGTCCAAGTACCTTTAAAACGCTTACAAAATCGGACAATGGATAAAATTAATGCGAATGAAAATTTTCCGGACGTTTATATAAAACCCTTCTATTTGAATAAAAGTAACTCGGTATACCTCTACAGCATCTGTGTCAAGAATGTTATTTTCGTCAATAATCACATTTCAGGCATTATTGTGAACCCGCATGGAACTAGTATGGTATATTGCATTGAATTATTCAATGCAGCCAGAAATGAAATAAAAGCAGTAGGCCTTCCCATACGGATAGACTTCTTGCAAAATTTTCACTTAAATTTCTCGATGTTAGTTTCAACAACCGCATTTGGATTATGAGTTTCTGTAACATTTCACTTCAAATGCAAAATAGTTCGAAAAAAATTGCTATGCTTACCTTTCCTGCTTCGAAAGAATTGCAAGTTATAAAGTATTCTAATAACTATATCTATGATGCTAAAATTAAGGACCCTTTTCTACTGCACATAAATATATCCGTTAAAAATTTTCCTCACACAAATCTCCTATAAGATGCATTTTTGGGCTTGATACTCCCAGTTTAGAAGTTCTTGATATCTCAGACAGGAAATGTTCTACAGTATATCCTCATTTATTCGGAAAAGCAACGAAATTAAAGAAAATTATCACATATTATATTGTACTTTCTTATTCCAAAATGATAAATTTCTTTACATTTTTTACAAAATAAGAATTTAAAAGACCTTTGAATGAAGATATTCCTGGAGCATTTATGATATAATCAGGTAAGTTATTCCACAGTTGAACAGTTGATGGAAAGAAACTTTCCATATATTATGTAGTTCTAATAGAAGGAATTTTGAATTCTGCATCATTATTTCTTAGATTATAGGGGTGGTTTGTAGGACGAAAAGGTTCAATCAAGTCATTTAAATATTTAGGTGAATAGCCATTTATAATTTTATAAAAAAAGTTGCAATTTATTAATATTCCTCCTTCTTTGTAAAAGATCCCATCCTATTTCGTCATACAATTTTGAACTAGAGGAATTTGATCTTAATTCAGTAATGATTCTATCTGCTTCTACTTGGATATCTTCTAAAAGTTTTGTATCTTTTACAGAACAATTGTCCCAGACAACGTCGGAATATTCTAAGACAGGTCTAATAAATGCAAAATATATCTTAACAAGTATTTTCCTTTTCAATTTATACTTAAGCATTCTGAGGATATTTAATCTTTTTAGTAATTTTTCATGAATTAATTGTATATGCGATGTCCAGGTATCATCACTTTGAAAGTGTAATCCTAGGTGGTTATGAGATGCATTTTGAGTAATGGATGGGCCATGTTCACCAAATGTAATGGGTGGATATTTTATATGTATTTTCGGGTGAAATCAACATTTACAGCTTTGTTTGGATTAAAATCAACAAGCCATATTTTTGACTATTTATCAATAAGATTTAGATCACTAGTAAGTGATTGTGCTACAATTGTGGCTTCCTTTTCTACAATAGTATATAAGGAGGTGTCATCAGCAAAAAGACATTAATCTTTTTCACCTGCTATTAGCATATTTCTAATTGTTAAATATATCTTATAAATCTTTTTCTCCTTCATTTCATTGCTTCATATTTACATTTAAATTTTTTTGTCCTAAATAAAAGTACAAATAGGAAAATTACTTTATTTCTACATTAATGTACTGATTCATGGATGGGTGTGGTTAAAAATCACGTGCTTGGCGGGGCAAATAGAGAAAGAAGCGGAGCTTGTAGCACCAAATCAAGAGCATGTTAATAAAAGGAATAACTGTCAGATTTTTTTTTGTTTTCAATACAATGATCATTCGACTGACTTACCCGATAGCTTTAGGCACAAACGTTTATACAAATTATCACTCACGCCAATCGACTGATCATATTATGAAACCCCCCCAAAAAAGACAATCATTCATTATATTAAGAACATACGCAACGTAGTTTAATCTATATTTCTTTTTCTATAAAGTGTTCCAATTCTTTAGTGCTATATTTTCAGGTCGATATATGGTGTTGTACACATCTTCCAAAAATAACAACAAAAAAACCATCTATAATATATGGTTTTATTAGTTTTTATATATTTTTCTTTGAATTATCCAGGATTTTTCATCTATTGATATCTTTCAAAAACACCTGGTAATGCATGCTTATTTTTTGTCTATAAACAATAATCACACCAGCATTTTAAATTAAGAATATCTTAAAACATCAGCAATAGATAAGGTACGTTGCGTATTAATGACTTTATTTATAACACTGATACTTAATCAGGCATCTGCTAACTCAACCTTTACTTCAATTGCATTATACAAACAGTAAACTTTTACAATTTATTTCAATTTTTTTCGCAAATGTAACTCAGTTTGCTGGTGCATACGTTATCTCCCCAATAAAACGCATTTTTACCATCGGTAAAGTAACACAGACATCTTTCTATTGTCGGGCGATTAGGCTCTGTTGGATGAAAGAAGGTGTATCCGATTTTTTCATTGGTTGATTCCCATTTCCAATCACCAACCTTTCTCAAAGTGTTCCCACCCATCCAATGCCATCCTCCATCTGTAAATAAAGTATTCAAATCAAAGAAACGTAGAAATAAAACTTATGTGTCAGTTGTTAAAAATATCTATTCAAAGATTCACTGTTCTTAGTATAATTGGTTTAAGTTTTAAAAAAAAATCAAGAGAACATTTTAAAATTTTATTTCGCGCGATTTGTATTTTGGTTGAGCTTACCAGATGAGATATTCTGGCAAAGTATTCGTTTGATGTCTTTTTTTCTTAAATCTTACAAACATTTCTATTGCAATTACAATGTATGTTATATAAAATATACCTTCATCAAAAAGTAAACGTTTATAGCATCATTTTCTACAAAACTTATTTAGTGAACTTTACATAAGTATTAGGAACAAAATTCTTGTCATGCAAATAATTAACAATGCCTTCTTTTCAATTACAAAAAATGGCGGCAATTGATTGTTGAACAAGTGAGCAAAGATTTGATTTAGCGCATTTACGTATGTAACTAGTTTTATTTACATGTGTAATACATATAGCCTGGTATTTGAATCAACAAAAGTTGATTTCCGCGAAAGGTGATAAAACAAATACACAGATAAATGTTATACACTTACACTACGCATGTAACTTTCCAATATCTTTTTTTGCAATTAATTTTATAATATTCTTTAATTACTTAAAGCAAAGAGTTGTTGGATAATCCAGTCATTTTCCCTGGGTGTTTCCACTCGAGCAAGATAAGCATTTTTTGTGTTGCATGCAACCTGAAAAAAAAATGAATAATGTAATAGCAAAAATAAAATACAACACATTTACACTCTATTGAAAAGAAAAAAAATATCAAAATTAAAAAAAATCAAATTGTTTATTGGAATATCTCGTAAAAGGACTAGTACTTAAAAAGGCAAATGCATTGCGTAAAGATGCATGAATACATACTTTGCTTTCAAACCAACTTTTTTTGTCTGTTCCAAACATATAACAATGTCCATTGAATTCTATCCACGGAAAGCTACACAAAGTCTTAGCAAAACCTGCAAAATGCAGTCCATAAGTTTATCAGAAAATATTATTTAATACTATACAAATCTAAAAAAAATCACTACATAGTTAAAATAACAACTGTTATAAAAATATTACAAGAAAAACAGACATACCAACAGCAACAAAGAAGCCATACACGACGCAAAAAAGAAATATAGGATTTTTCAAATGCATCCTGAGAGAATGCTATGCCTTGCTTTATTCATGTAATTACTCTAACAGAAGTTTTAATTGGTTTATATTGTATTAGTATCAGAAATTGAAATCAATACAACAACAGCTTGAAACATATCGAATTACTGATTTTGGAAATAAGATTTATCTATACTAAATGAGTTACTAGTACTTGACTGATTGGTTAGTACCGACTCGAAAACAAAAGTGTTTGATTACATTCGTGTTCAGTAAATCTGTAATTCAATACTTGACAGATGTACATGTACAGATGATTGCTTGATTATAGCAGGAAATAGACAAAATAATTCTTCTACGAAAATTTCGAAAATACAAATTGGAATTTGAAAGGTGGTGATAGAAAAAAAACATAAACAAAAGTTTCAATAAATTGTTTAAACTAACCAGACCTTATCATTTACGTTCCCCTTTATTTTTAGTAACAACTGATTATATGTATTTGCATTTAAAAAACAGATGTCAAAGCAAATTCGTTTCATGATATTTATGATAATAATGCTAAATTAAATTGGATTGATTGATTGATTGATTGTATGTTGTCTAACATTTATGGATATTTCACTTAGGTAGAGACCTCACCATGCACCGGTGAAGATTTTCAAATTTTGACCTTTACTCGGCACTGGCCATTGAGCATTGGGGATCTATATCGTGCCAACGCCTACTGTGACATGGGTTCTCGTTTTTCTTTTGGTCTCATCCGAGGACCTGCAACTTTCATTTAAAGTTGTTGAATTAAAAAAAAATTAAATTCAATGATATATAAAATTACCATATACCGGTGAATGACATAAACTTTGACCTTACATTAAGTAGTAAGGGTTCTTTAATTTGCCAACACATAATTTGACACAGGGCCTCGTTTCATCAGACGGACCCGCAACTTCACTTCAGTATTGAGCGCTTAGCGAATGAACATTTACTACCTATTTATTAATTATCGACTTCGGTCAGTCGCAGTTGTGATAGTAAATGTGCAATATGACAATAAATACAACTGAGCACTGCGCCTAAGAATAAAAAGCAGAAATCAGTATTTTTAGTTACATAGTCTTTTAGTGACAGGGGTATGGGATGATACTTGGTTAGTAAATTTCATACCTGGCGAGGCGGAGCCGAGTCAGGTACGAAATTTACTAACCAGGTATCATCCCATACCCTGTCACTAAAAGACTATGTAACGAATTTACCCCACCGATGAAACATTTACGTTTTATCTGTAGTTAAGGTCAAGATCTAGTAAATGATAGGTGCCTACAGATTTATCAAACTTGAGAAATAAATTCCTTTATTGATGCTTTACAACTTTAGCTTGGTCAAATAAGGTGTTTCGGGCATAATTTGTAGGTAAACAAGATGAAAAACTGTATTTTAAACTGTCATTTTCAATGAAGAATTAAGAAAACCAGTCATGAAAATGGGAGTTTTTTTTCGCATTCGGCAAAGGAAATGAAACAGTTTCAGAAAACGGTAATTAGTATGTTCATGGCCTCTTCTTTAAATCAATATCAAATTTATTATAGGTATCCGGTTTACTTTTCATATGATTTCAAATTGAATGACATGAAAATACCCTACACGTAAAGTACGGGAAAAAGAAAGCTGAAATTGATTATGACGAAATGGATCTAGCACCAAAAAATGTCTCAAGTTATTCACTAGATCTTGACCTTAAATATTTACATTTGCAAATGTTTTCCTTTATATAACACTACTGAAAGGAAGTATCTATAACTGTATACGTAGGTCAAGAGGTCATAGATGTGCGTATAGATAATCGTTTGACGTAATTTCTCAGTGACGTCACAAAGGACCGACGCGCGTTCAGTGGATTGCATACTTGCCGTTGAGTTTGAAAAATAATGCATTTCACACGCTAAAAGTCAGTCAGGTATATATAAAGTATGAATAAGTCACGGGCTTTATGGAATTTAATCTCGTGACCAACCCGTATTTATATCCCGATAGATGTTTAAAAATGATACCTTATTTCTTAATAAATGTTTTTTTCTGCTAAATGCTTCAGCAGGCTTATACTGTGCCTATTATGACATCACGTTTGTGTTTGTGACGTAATACATCGACCAGGTAAAGATCTACAACTGACCGGGTATAGATTTACAACTGACCGGGTATAAGTAATCCACCGCCTTCACGTGACAGACTTCAACCAATTGCAAGCTAGAATTTCACGGAAAAATCGACAGAGGTTGGGTAAAAGTTTAAACCCATAAACTGTCCCAATCTAGCTTTAAATGGGAGGGACCAATGATTTGAATAAACCTGAATGCTTGAAGCTACACTGAGGATTCTTGCATATTTCTTTCAACTAACTGTGGTATATTTACTCTTTAAGTTTGAATTTGAATTGTTGCCCCCCCCCCCCCCCCCCCCCAACGGCATTCATGATTCGAATAAAATTGAATCGACAGTAGCGTAGGATGGTTCAATATCTCAATGATTAATATAACTTTGCTGATTTTTTTTTCTGTACATTACTTTGTAAAATTTACTCATCTATTATGGTCCACCTTACCCCCAGGGGCCAAGAATTGAAAAAAAAAATCTTGAATCTCCATACTTGAGGATGTTTTTAGTTACTCTTTGTAAAATTATACGTAGCCCCAAATGAAAATAATTATAGTTGTAACGGTGCTAGTCCACTCAAACAAAATTTAAATATCTTCATTCTAACACCCCAGACGTTAAGTTTGAATGATCTATCAAAATAATTTAAATAATTATAAAGATAATGATAATTAATGCCTCGAAGCCATAATCTAAAATACTCGTACACTTAAAATTAATTGCTGTCAAAATTAAATCGAGATTTTCATCCTAAGCTTAACCAAACAGTTGCATTATCAACCACCCCAAAAATCACACCTTTCACATGCATTGAAGCGTAACTAAAACTAACAGTCGTCTGATTTGAATGAAATTCACGAGACAATCAAGCCATATCATATACACAAGCAGTTATTTTAATCATAGTCCCAAGACAAAAGTGGAAAATAAGATCGAAAAGAAAAACTGCCATACTGCTATCGGAGTTTCGATGTCGTCAGAATTTTCTCGCTAAGGAAGACACGTCCACACGTGAGTCTCCAGAGGCACCACTTATTATATACTTGCATGTATATAATACCTGAAGTCATATTAAAAATATTTTGCGATTCTAGTTTTTGCGGGTTTGTTCTATCCGCAAAATTCCGCAAAAATTGGACAACCGCAGAAAATACCCGTTATACGGTATATTAAAAAGTTAATAAAATCTTCCAAGAATCTTATTTTCCTGGATGTTTAATCATAACACTTGTGTGTAGAAGAAATAATGATTTTTGAAAGAAATTTGTGTCAGACGAATGCATACCAGGTGTTTTTAATTTCGTTAAAAAGAAGCAAAGTGCAGTTATGGTCCACAGATTTTATTACCTTCAGTTGCAATGATAATGATCATTGTTAATTCAGAAATTTAAAACTGTGTCGGTTTTAAAGCAGGTGCAAACTCTAATTCATGGTTAGGATCTACGCTTGTAAACAACAAATTGATCTACTGCATCGGGGGCGGCTACAGCAATCACTCCGGTAGGGTTACCTCCCCCGTGACAGGGACTGTTGTCTTCTATGTTGCTGTGATTTCTGATTTGAACTTTGACATATCTTTAAATATTGTGTTAAACGCTGTCAGTAAAATGAGAATCATCTCTTATTTCACTTTCGGTTCAAACTCATATCAAAGAGGGAAAAATCTTGCTCTACAACATTTAATGTGCTGGAAACACATTCTGGGCCAGGAAATATAGCAATGGAACATAATATAAGCTCCACAAAGCGATACACCGCTGGTAACCTTCAGACGATTTCGCTTATAAATTAAGAGTTGTAAACTTGAAATCAATTTTTTCTTTGAAAAATAAAATTGAATATTGTTCTGTATGCTGTTTATTGATTTAAGGCATACATTTACTAAAAAAATTCCACTGATAAGAACGAAAAACCACCTACTGCACATTGTACACCTATGATTCTTATGTTAAATTTCAATTTCAAATAAGTAGGTCAATGACCTAATTTTCGCACTGGTGGCCTTTGAGTATTTCTGGGAAAATACCTTATTTTTTTCACACTATGATCACTTTTTTCTTAACGCACAAAATATTACAAGCAACAAAACTCTTTTTAACTAATGAAAAATTATGGGAATGGAACAGCGTTGCTTCATATCAATAAGTGATTTGAGTTTGGTCCATAAACTTATTAATTATTACAGTCCGAATTTCCTCTGTCATATATCTATTTTCTTCCATTTTTAATCGACAATTATAAAAGTCTTAATGATAAGAACTCTAAATTATTTATAACCCCAGGTCTCTTTTGTTTCCCATTTTCTAATGGTATTAATATTAAATGAAGTCAATGATAAAATTATTCATATATGTTGTCTAAAATGGCTTTTGTTCATGGGTTTTAATTTAATTTTTTTATAGCATTCAATTATTTTAAATAATTCATGAATTTTCATACACATAATATTTGCAAACAGGTGTTTTAAAAACATCAAATGTAATTTATATTGCAAGAATAATTATTGTGACAAAAATGGACATTTAAAAATTAAGTCCGAATTTTCATCTGCATCACCATTTATATTGAATTTTTTCTTGTACACGTTTTTAAAAAAAAAAATCAGAAATTATATTTTTAAATTGATATTGAGTTAAATATTGGTTATTTCATCCATTTAGAACATTTTTATTTATTTAACATATCGATATATAGTTTTTTAAATTTTTTTCTTGGGGTATAAAATCAACTTGTTGTGAAAGTTATAAGCATTGCATTGTAGCGAATAACAGCCACTTTAATCACTTTTACCTGCCATTAGTATATTTCTATTTTTCAATTATACCTGATATCCTTTCTAATCCATTTATTTTTCATTTAATTGCTTTATATTTACAATTTGAATTTTTTTGTCCTAGATAAAAGTACAAATAGGAAAATGACTTTATTTCTACATGAATCTATTGTTTCATCGATAGTGTGGTTAAAAAATCACGTACTCGGAGGAACAAATAGAGACAGAATAGAATTTGCAGAATCAGGTGCGTGTATATAAAAGAAATAACCATCAGATCATTTGGTTTTATGACGATGACCAATCGATTAGCTTGCGTGATAGCTTTAAGAATAAACGATTTCGGAGTTTATGCAAATCATCACACCTGCCATATGATGAAACCAAAAAATGACAATTATTCCTTACATAAAGGACATTTATGTTACGTAGTTTGAAGTACATTGTATTTTTCAATGGAATTGAAGAATTGCAATTTTTAAAGGAACTATGCCTATATGGTATTGTACACTTCTTCAAAAATTATCTTGATGAAAGAAACATTTAGAATATCTGATAAGTATTTGTTGCAATTTTTTCTTCCTTTGAATTTCTCCACGAATTTTCATTAATGATATATTTCAAAAAATCTAGTTATGCATGTTGATTTCTTGTCTATTTAAGGAATGTTTTTAAGTTTTGTGTTAGTTATTGGTGTGTGAATCACACAGACTTGTCGCGTAGGCATAATTTATTAAGCGCGCTAGCGCTTCATAAAAGATATGCTTACGTGCAAGTCTGTGTAATTCACACTACAATAATTCACACTAAACTTAAAAACATTCCTTATAATTACATTTTACATCTCAGGAAGCATCAAAAATATACTCAATATTTAAATTTCTCGCTGCCCTATATCGTTATACTTTTACTAACGTCGCTGTAGCCTTATTGTGACGTCACGTTAACGCACGTTTCTCACTTCATATTTCTACGCGTGAGTATACTCGAAAATGGTTTTCTAATCAATTTCACAGTTTGTTTAGTAGAAAAAACAGCGAAAGAAAACATTATCATTTGATCACAATAGAATATTAAATAAAAAATATCAAGAAAAATTATTGGTAGGTAAGGAACGTTGCGTATGTCCTCAATTCTTTATTTATAACACTGATAGGTAACAACGCATCTACAAACTTAAACTTTACATCAATTGCATTATACTATAGTCAACATTTACAATATATTTTAATTATCTCTTTCGCAAATGTAACTCAGTTTGGCACTGCATTGGAAATCTCCCCAATAAAACGCATTTTTATCATCAGTAAAGTAACACAAACATCTTTCTGATGTGGGGCTATTGGGCTCTGTAGGATGAAAGAAGGTGTATCCGATTTTTTCATTGGTGGATTCCCAATTCCAATCACCGACTTTTCTCAAAGTGTTTCCACCCATCCAATGTAATCCTTTATCTGCAAATAAAGTACGCAAAGTAAAGAATTTAAGACATTAAGCTTCTGTGTCATTTAATAAAAAATATCTGTTCAAGGATACAATGATCGTTGTATAATTGGTTCAAGTTAAAAAAAAATGTTGATATTTCATTTGACAAGATTTGTTTTTCAGTGGAGCATTTCAGATGAGATATCCTGGCAGAGCATTCATTTGCTCTCTAGTTTTTTTGTTGTTTTTTTTTACGTAAAAACATATTAATTGAAGTATGTTATGTCATATAGGTTTTTAATAAAAAGTAAACATTTAAAGCACTTCTAAAAACTAAACATTCACTCTATTAAAATCAAATAAATTTTAATGAAGGCAAATGGAACAGATTTCCTGTTTAGGACTAATAAAATGTATCTTTTTAAAACTAAAATTGCACAGCAAAAACATGCAAATCTCAGAAAAGAAAGAAACAAGAGGCCCATGGGCCACATTGCTCACCTGAGCACTAAGGGTAGGAAAAATAAGAAAATGGCTTTTTATTTTAAAGTTTCAATCCAAAAGTAGTCCCATGACCAATCATTGATTTGCTATTTTTTAGAAAATGATTTTTAAAGAATTTTCCTATAAATATCTTTAAAAACTTTGGTGGCCATTTTGGCCCCGCCCTACCCCCGGGGGGTCATGATTTGAACAAACTTTTACCTACCCAAATAATAAAGAATTTTCCTATATATTTCTATGTAAAACTTTGGTCAGCCATTTTGGCCCCGTCCTACCCCCGGGGGTCATGATTTGAATAAACTTAGACTACACTACCTGAGCATGCTTCCATATAAATATGATGAAATATGGCTTTGTCATTCTTGAGAAGAAGATGTTTAAAGAATTTTCCTATATATTTCTATGTAAAAGTTTGGTCGGCCATTTTGACCCCGCTCTACCCCCGGGGGTCATGATTTGAACAAACTTGAATCTACACTACCTGAACATGCTTCCATATAAATATGACAAATTATGGCTTTGTCATTCTTGAGAAGAAGATGTTTAAAGAATTTTCCTATATATTTCTATCTAAAAGTTTGGTCGGCCATTTTGACCCCCCTCTACCCCCGGGGGTCATGATTTGAACAAACTTGAATCTAGACTACCTGAACATGCTTCCATATAAATATGATGAATTATGGCTTTGTCATTCTTGGGAAGAAAATTCCCGTATATTTCTATGTCAAAGTTTGGTCGGCCATTTTTGCCCCGCCCTACCCCCGGGGGTCATGATTTGAACAAACTTGAAACTACACTACCTGAGCATGCTTCCATATATATATGATGAATTATGGCTTTGTCATTCTTGAGAAGAAGATTTTTAAAGAATTTTCCTGTATATTTCTATGTAAAAGTTTGGTCGGCCATTTTGGCCCCGCCCTACCCCCGGGGGTCATGATTTGAACAAACTTGAATCTACACTACCTGATGAGGTTTCCCCATAAGTTTCATCTTTCCTGGCACAGTGGTTCTTGAGAAGAAGATTTTTAAAATATGCCACCAAATTTTCATTAATTCCCAATTATCTCCCTTTGAATGAGGGCGTGGCCCTTCATTTGAACAAACTTGAATCCCCTTCACCCAAGGATGCTTTGTGGCATTTTTGGTTGAAATTGGCCCAGCGGTTTTTGAGAAGAAGTCGAAAATGTGAAAAGTTTACAGACGGACAGACGGACGCCGGACAAAATGTGATCAGAAAAGCTCACTTGAGCCTTCGGCTCAGGTGAGCTGAAAAAGAAAAAAAGAAAAGTTTATAGCTGTAGAGTTGTAATTGGTAATAAATATAGCATATTCTCGTTTCAATATCCATGTGCCTTGCACAGATCTTAATAATTTTACTAATTGATTTTTAAAAATATATTTTACTTAAAGCAAAGAGCTGCTGGATAATCCAGTCATTTTCCCTGGGTGTTTCCACTTTAGCAAGGTAAGCATTTTTGGTGTTGCAAACAACCTGAAAAAATAAAATTATGTAGCAACAAAGGTAAACTATTAAAATATTTACAATCTAATTAAAGGAAAAATCAAATAAGAATAAAATCAAAATTGTGTAAAAATAACTCTTTCAATCAAATGCATTGTTTAAAGGTACATATATGCATACTTTGCTCTCAAACCAAGTTCTTTTGTCATTCCCAAACATGTAGCAATGTCCATTGAACTCTATCCACGGAAAATTACATGTAGTTTCAGCAAAACCTAAAGTCCTTTATAATATAATTCGGATATGACCAGGTAGATCACTCTTGCACATAAGATCACTCTTAAACAGGGGCACTGCAAAGCAGAGCATCCCCTTACAAAGAGCATATCTATTAATAAAGGTATCAATGAAATAACGTTACTTCTTTTTTTAGAGAATTAACTCACCCACTCAACCACAAATTAATGAACAAAACACAATTGCGTTACTATATCTCTACTCCTATGTGAGTGAATACTAATTAAAAACGTACACCCTATTTTTAATCTGTTAATTATGCTTTTATGGAGATTTTTTGTACTTTTGTCAGTTATTCAGTTCTATTTAAATATAATGATATTAAAAGCATACAAAGAATCTATTTGACTATTTACTAACCTGTTTTTCTATTTTATTTTATCTCTGAGAAAAGATTTTGACTTAAAGAATTATTATTCTATAAGTAAGTTTTTAAGGCAAACGGAGTGAAAAGCATGCTTTTTATGCATTGCAGAATTTACAATTACTTTGCTGACAATCCTTGACCTCGGTGGCCGTACAAGTGCGAAGGAGATGAGTGTTATTTTCCTGTGGTGAGAATGATGTGTAATGTTTTATAAAACTGATATATCCTATAATAACTTTTTACATGAGATAATAATTACTGGTGTCTTTTATAGTTATCTGAATCCGGACAGGGCCACGTAATTCAATATTGCACAATCGAGCATTGATCATATATGCATACTGCTATGGAACGATGAAGATAAAGTGACATGTATGGTATATTGACGCAACCATGCTATAGTTCGATGAAAACAATGAAATGAAACGATGACAATGAAGCGACTCTCACTATCGCTTCGTTCTCTCGCTCCAATGCCATGCCTATATTGTTTTATGTAATCACATCCAACAATCATTATGACACCATCGTGTCAACCTACCATCGGGTCATGCTCGATTGCGCGGGCGGTAGAGATCTACGTGACACTGTCCGGATTTCATACCATCTGGATTTCATTACTATTTGATTTCTTTAACGCTCATTCACAATATAATGCGGGTATTGAACTATAAAATAGCAAATGATGCAGGTTCTGCTCTAAAATATCAATTCAAAACAGTAATTTCTATTAGTTCTATTAGATCAAATAATTCCTAAAAAGTACTAGACTAAGTATACATTTATACGATCTATCACTTTAATTAAATGCAAAAGAAAAATACAAGGTTTTCTTTCTAAAAAATAATTACTACTAGAAATTGGAAATCACAGCAAAAATAGCAACTTATTTCATGTCATTAAATAATAAGGATTATGTTGTGGTGCCTTTGCCCATTTTTAGCAGAAGTGGGAAAAGCCCTATAATATAAAGGTTTCTCAATTGTCTGCTATTTTTAGAAACAAAAGAATGAATGCCAAACGATGATACAGTGTATTTTATTTTATGAGATTATTTCAAATATTTCTCTGGATTAAATGTATTACTGTATTAAGAAAAACGCTTGTTTTATAGCATTTATATTGTAATACTGTAAATCACTTTTTATTCGCGAGAACTTTATTTTCGCGTAATTACGCGAGACAGTGTGCTCACGAAAATTTAATTCTCGCGTATAATAGTATTCCTTAAGATTATACAGAGCAATAACCACAATTCGCGAAAATTTTGTCTCGCTTATCAAGAGTCAGTGACCATCTCGCGAAAATAAGGTGTCGCAAAAATTTAGTGATCTACTAAAAGATTATAGTACCAAGATATCTAGGCTTAAAAGATGCTTAAGATTTTAAAAGAAAATTTTCTGATATTAAGCATATTTTAATTTCATAACATTAAGTTCTTTAGATTTTAATTTACATTTTTAAAAGAAGTAGATCTATTTCAAGTTTACTTGCGAGTAATGTTTTCAAGTTTAAAATAGTTTTCATGATTTACATTTTTAAAAGAATTTTTGAAGACGTTTCTCATATATAAAAAAAACTAATAGGCACAAAGAATATTTCAACTCTCTGCGAGTAATGGTTTTCAAGTTTACTTCTTAAAAATAGTTAATTCATACAGTTATTAAATAAGTATCGTGTTGGATGCCTATTTGAATGAAAATAATATTTTAAAAATTTCGTAGTAAAATATCCGTACATTTAATTTCAAGTACTTCTATGTCATTTAAGGAAGTTTCTCATATAAAAAGAAAACTAATAGGTAAGGCTCTTCAATTTATTTTCCAAAACTAAGAATTTTCCATTTTAAAGTTACTACATCGATCGTTATCAGTTGAATATTAAAATAAACTAACTCATACCACGGTATTTCACAGTATGCACAGCATTTCTTTACGGTGCAGTTTACCCTGTACAAGATGTGTACTCACATCTTAAGGAAGCCATATAACAACACAAAGAAAAAATACAGGACTCCTGAATTGCATACCTTTATTTTGAAAAGTTTAAATGTTATGTTTTGCTTTGGTTTTCCAACAGATTATTATTTCAAATCATGCATAGTTATGTACTTTCATCATTTCTTTATTATGTATCTAAACACACAATCACACACACATATAAACAAAATCAAATGTAATATTTTTTTTCTTTCTACAAGATAATACATTTACTGTCTGTAAATAAAAAATCATAAAAAGTTCGTTTTTATGACAATTGATTTATCTGCTAGTGATGCATTTTTTCATCAGCAAGCTAGAACTGTTCATACTTATATGTACCTTTACATTAAATAAAATATTTTGATCTTAATTCTTTTACTGAATAAATTATAAAATGACTATATAATCTTAAATAATCAAATTGAGCATCGTGTGAAAAAAATATGTTATTTTTTCACATGACCGCCGAATGTCAAACTGCACAAATTATACGTGTAAATAAAATGAATTTTTAGTTAAAAACGGACTTAGACTTACATCTTGATTAAATCTGAATTAATCTTGAAATGAATTTAATTGAGAATTATACAATAAATATGTTTAAAGTAGAAATGAATTTTTGATTTTGAATTACCTACAGATTTTAAATAGCAAACTTTCACCGACATACACTTCCTTTGATTAAAAAAAACATCCAACTTTTTATTATAAAAAATTGTAAAGGGTATAAGTTTGTGTAAAAATGTCAAATAAATATAGCATAAATTAATAGCTGACAGTTTTAAATTAATAATTCTAAAACAAAAATAAAAAGTTTTCTTTTTTTTATTATAATTACAATTTACTTAAAACACAAAAATAGTGGGAGAGAGTAGAGGGAGAAAAGATAATTTTGAATCCACGTGTCACTTCAGTGTTGCGTAATATTGCAAGTTTGTATATACATGTAGCCAAGTGTCCATCTTACTGACATTTCCCGGCGCTGCCGCTTGTGTACATTATGCAATGTGTTATCATTGTTTGTAAACACGCGATGTTGTTACCCGGACAACAAAAATACTCTCAAAAAATTGGTTTTAAATCATTGTTATAGACACTTAAGACATGCACATAATTCTGAATTTGATTTGAACCTAAAGCAGAAATTAAAACTATATAGCAACAGAATAAATTTTTAAATCAATATTAATCATTTAAAGAAACAAAAAAAATAACACATATTTTTTTCTCTTACTCGCAGTTATCTTTTTTATATTGATAAATATTAATAGAATTATTTTCTCTGTCAGTGTGAATAATTGTCGTATGTCCCTAATATATATCTCTGTATATGAAAAAAAAATATAAAAAATCGAAACGATTACAGAAAAATGGAGAAAAGAAAATCCAATACCAATCAATGACATTGTAAAGAAGTATATCATCAATCTTTAATTATATATGACCCCCCCCCCCCCCTCCCCCTCCAAAAAAACTTTTAAGGTTTTTGAGTGATTCATTATAACTCAACCGTGATTCCCTTAAATCAAAATGGCACGAAACTGATGGTGACTGTAAATCGGCATTAATTTTCTAAAATACTAATAATTTTTCTTTTTCATGTAAAACTTTGGGAACTTTATATTTAAATAAGAAATGCTAAAATTGCAATGTATCCTTGCGATTGCCATGACCGATTTTCAATGCACAAATCTATCGGAAGCAATTAAAGTTACTTATTCTTGTGCAAATATCAACCAATATTCTGTTGTTGTTGTTTGGTTATTTGTATGAATTGGTTATTTATTTATTTATTTTGCTCTGTTTGCACTCGGCAGTTAGGGATCTTTCGCGTTAAAAGCTCCTCAGTAAATTATTCTTCTCAAAACAAAAATACAATATATATTCAATTGCTTAGTTTTTGTGGAAAATTAAACATTTAGGGTTTATGTACTTAGGCCCCGTGCCTGTCTGTATTGAACTCGACAAATGATAACATCACTAGTAAAAACTTATAAACAAACAGGAATTCAAAAACATACAAAAGACTTGACACACTAGGTTTAAAGAAACATCGATAAAAGTAAAAAAAAAATTACAAATATTACATCTGAATATAATAATATATTTTAGCGCAATTCTGAATAAAAGAATCTTTTCTTGGAACTTACTTAAGAATTTTTTTCATTAAAATACCATGGAAGCAACTGAAACAAATTACGACATGCCTTATTTAGAAAACTTCCGCGCATGTGTAAAATAAAATATTAGTCTATTGATCCTAGAAAACTTTTTTCTCGCTCTTTCTCTGTGTGTTAAATTATAATGATTTATTTTACAAATTGCTAAATCATTTACTCTTTTCTCTGCATCGTTCGAATTCTTGTCACTTATACATGTACCATTTTTTATGTCAGTTTATAATCCTGATAATATGTGACTTATATAATCTCGAAGAAACTATAAAAATTAAAGATAAGAACTTCAAGAATTATTTTCGAATTTTGTCTTCCGTTCAGTTCAAGTTCGACCGTAATATTATTTAATATGTTTAAAACAAATTTTCGTGGCTATTGCATGTTTAAAAAAAACAAAACAAAAACAATAGACAGGTACGATTAAACTAATTAATGAGGCATGCAGTGTGA